TAGCGCGCAGCCATGGTCAGTCAGCCATGACAGTCACCGCGCCCATTTCCCACTCCAGTCTACTGACCGGCTCGGACAGCGGCTGGGGTGTGAGGATGGGAAGGGAGAGTGAGTTCGTCGACGCAGCGCATTTTCCTCACTATAAACAATCTGACGCGCTTGAAGCTATCACGGTGCGCTAAAAGCCGTGGCTTGGAAGGTTGCCAACTGACGGGGTAACTTGGACCTCCTCCATTACGGGAGGCGGTCTGAGAGTCAGGCTGCAATGGCTCCTTTTTAATGTGGCCTTTATGGCATTCCCATCGCAGTGTGGGATCCGAGCCAGGCGTTGGCGGCACGCCCAGGTGCGGCTTCGTTCGTGCCAGTCGCCAAACTCTGTTGTGTTGGTGAAACTCCTGGTTATTTGTTGTGTGGACCAGGGGGAGTGATGGAACGCCAAGGGGAGGATCCGTCCGAGCCATCCACCTGCGGCCTCCCTCGTCTCCGGTCTTCTTGACTCTGTCTTGACACCGGGCCCAGACGGGGGAGGAGGAGAGAGTGTAGGTAGATGCAGCGCAAGTCTACTGGCACTATAAACCCCTGCGCAAGTCACCGTCCCTGCTCCCATTGCTGCTGCAAATGTGGGGCACAAGGTGGGCATCGTCGAAATCGACGGTCGAACTGTCGTGTGTGTGTGTGTGTGTGTGTGTGTGTGTGTGTTTGTGTGTGGGCATATGGTCAGAAAATTCCATGTACCAACCAAATACGCGGAAACCCTTCGAGCATGAGTAATTTGTAATACCTGACCGACTGGCGTCATTTATACGCACATGACCGAACAGAACCATGCGATGGCTGAACGTACGATTACAGCGTGGGAAGGGATGTGTTGGATACGACTGCATGTCCTGATTGTCCACTGGAACTGCCACGGTATTGGAATGTATGGCAACAATGCGGACGAATTAACGCCATGTCTGCATTGATGGCGATGGCCTTCTGTGTCCTGGCAGTGTTCAATAACGGTGGATAGTAAGTGTCCGACGAGGCGATCTGGGACTGAGGCATGTTGTTGAGGTTAGGACAGATGGCGGGGATTTTTTCAAGGTTGTTTAGTATTTGCTTTTACAATGATGGATGTTTGTACTGGTATTGTCTTGGATCCGATGGCGTCCGGCAGGGTCAATTTGGGTCCCGAGAATGAAGTTTTGCCCACAGTCGCATTGGTGTTAATGTTTCGCTATGCTTAAACCGGCTCTCGGTGTGTTTGTTTAAAATAACCAATGGAATATTTTTAAAAGAAGACGAAGGCGCGGTCACTTGGGCGGTAGATTTATTGGTCTTAGCTTTCGAACTCGAACAGGAGTTCAACATCAGCGACTGCTAGAGTGCAGCAGCGTGTGAACAATTATATCGTTGTGCCGTGAGGGGGGGGGGGGCGTACGTCCGTGGCTAGGTCTGGCTTGTGCTGCCTGGTCCACAATGGCCCCCCGGCATGGTGACGGCGTTTGTATTTATGATAGAATGTCTAACCCGTTCATTGCGAACCGTCGTGGCATGTGGTTGTGCTTGTAGTGTTGCTCGTCATTTAGGACTCCCACCCAGGCCTATTATGACTTGCAGTTAGAGAGAGAGAGAGAGGGAGAGGGAGAGAGAGAATAAGAGTAAGTGAAGGTTTACCAAACTTAATGGATATCAGAGGAACAAAATGGACAAGCCTTCATATGGCCCGATCCCCCAAGTAGCTTCCGTTGTCCACATCACCCTAAAGCCGCGTGATTGGTAGTACAAATTCATTAACGCCGACGTGCAGAAATAATTGACATGGTTTTAACAAACGTTTAGGCCGCTATCTGTCAAGGTTTTTTCCTTGGCGCTCTCTCATTTGTGCCGATTTTTTCGTTTCATCGGAAATCGAATGACCTTCCTCGAGCCAGATTCGAGAATATGCCGCAGCCCCTTAACTCGCATCATATTAAAGCGGCCTTTCACCGTCAGGCTACGAGTGTCGACAATTCGTCGTTTCCCCAATCTAAAATCAGGAAGGCAGAGCTAGGGAGGCAGTCTTTACTGTCGCCAGTGGAGTAAAATTGGCCCAGAAGGCCGCAACAACAGTTGTTCTCTTCAAACTGAAAGCCGGCCGTCAGTGCTGTTGAACACGGCACGAAGTGCGTTCGTGCGTGCACCTGAGTTTTGTCCAACCTCGGTTTATCACTGAGGGCAAAACAAGTCAATCGGCGTCAGGATGTCGGCAGATCGAACAATTAATCACACACTGTGAACTGATGAGGGGGCTTGGTCGCTGTAGCTACTTCAAGAAAACCGTTACAGGACCAGGCCGAATGCATTAAAATTTACCCCAATTTTTTCAGGTCTAAAGTTCGGTGTGGTTGGCTGAAGAGGACCAACAAGTCAGAGACGACACGCCAGGCTGTCATTCGGTTATTATACTGACATTCTGAAACCATGCCTGATTTTGCCACAAGAGGCATTATGCATGCTGCGTCTCGGGGCCGTGATGGGGTCACGTCTGCACCGAGGTCAGTGGTTCAGAGCCCATAGTAATTATCCCACTGCATTGACGCTATATCTGCCACCGTTATAGTGTGGTTGAGTGGAGAGGCTGCTTTTGAAGATTTGCGATCTTCATAGCTTGCTGGTCCTCAACTCCATGACTAACCTACAAACGATCTTTTATCACTCACTCCATTAGGCAGTGGAGTTTAACCTTTTTCCGGCTAATGAATTCCAACGCTCCGGAGCTTTCTGTAGAACTGTTTAACCTGTCTCTAACTGTCTCATTTCCGGTTACGCTCAGAGAACTCTGAATGCCTTCTGACATATAAGCACTTGTTCCGAGTCATTGGGATTTGGGTAGTGACCGTCCACATCTTGTGGAAGAATTGTTGCTTTTACGCAATTTAGCCTTTTTTGAAGGAAAAACGGGTTTTAGCTAGGAACTGAGCGGTTGTGACACCCAGTGAATGGTCAAATACGCAAACAAGTTGCCTACTTGCCGCGTCCTGCCCTCCCGAGCTTCAGTCCAGGGCTAGAAAAGGACGTGATATAGACACTAGGACCGGTCATGGGATATTTGACTGCTTTTGTGAGGTCGCCCGCGCTACTGACAGGATCGGTATCACTTCTTAGACGCACCATTGTGTTAGCTATTGTTATTTCAGCACACCGACCGTGCCGATGAATTGTGTGCTTCTGACTGCCTTCGGCCAACTGGCGGCGACCCTAGCCATAAAACTGGCATATCTATTTGCATGACAGCTAGGTTTCGCCCAGGCTATCACCTAAGGTCTAAATTTTTCCGACTCGTCATGTCATCCAGTGACAAATCACACTATCAATTGTTCACTACCAAGTGACCTTGAATCTGAGGAGGATAAGACACTTTTTAGTGATAACCAGTCTCTGCTTCCGTACTAATGAACTACAGTGGTGACCACATCATTTGAAATATCACGCGGAATTTCCAGTGTCCCAGTTGGGTCACTTTTTTCTCTATTGTCCTCGGGGTTAATAGCATTGCACAGCTGCTTCCAACTTGCAGTTAGCTAAGTCGACAATAGCAAGTAAAGCCACCGAGGGACGAAAGATGCAGGCATTGCCGTGGAATCGACGCCACCGGTGTCCAAACCTACCCACATTCTCTTTTGCCCGACTTTTGGTAAGACGATGGAGTGGAAACGCTCCCCCCCCGGTTATACAGGTGGACTTAAGCAAAATCCTAGGAAGGGTCAATATTCCCAACACCAACCCCAATCCTTACCACAGTACTCAGCCTAGTTACCCTGGAAACTAGCACGAGATCTCCCAGAATGCGGGGATCCTATTTCCGTGTCTTGTCTGACTTTCATTGTCCACTCACATTTCTTGTTCTATGTCTTCTATTGACATTGTTCGATGGACTGAGAATCATTGTCAATCGAACATTCACCAGCTAAAGTGACTGCGCGGTGCCATAAAGTCCAGAGTTCATTTGGACTCACTGACTGGACTTTTCGGTTTTTCTTATGCCCTATTACTAAACCATGACCATATTCTGACGGTGTGGTCTATACTCCTCAGTCATATCTACCCAACTCGGTTCTCCAGCTGATTTTTTCTCGTCTCTCTGTCTACTAGCTGGGATGCGTTTGCGTGCTTAGGAGAGGATAGCCAGTTTAATTAGGTACGTGCAACATCAAATGCATAGTCCCAGCGAACAGTCGTCCCACCACCATTCTACCTAACACGCCTTCTTCTGTAGCTTAAAGAGGAAGCGTCGGACGAAGCAGCCACGTCCCAG